CGTGTTCGGCCACTTTGTGTTACCCCAATCTTTGCCGAATAGGTCGGCATGTCACACCAACATAACATCGAAGACACGAGCAAACAATCTTGTAGCAGCCAGATCTCGATAATGGATTTCTAAAAGATAATAAGCCAAAGAAAGCGCGATGTTTTCTCTGAACACTGTTTTCATTCCAAATTTTCTCACTTATCTGCCTGTATTTTCTGAAAGAAGGCACGCTGGAAAAATAAAATGGAAAAATGAGAAATGGTACCCGTTTGTCTATCTTTGACTAAATAGTTTTCGTCTAAAAATGTATTTCTCGGTAGAGATATTATTCTCAATTAGGCATTCACAATGGAAGTGTAAGATGATCCGAACATTAGAGAAAAAGATAATTTAGGCAGGTGTTTATAAGAAGCCAACATGTCGGCTCTTAGGAACTTTGTTTCCAACCCTAGTAACAGAACAGTCAATAATTATTAGGACTATGAGACTAGTTGATATGAACCATTTCGCCAAAAATTTAGTTCTAGAAAATAATTATCCTTCGAGCCTAATTATTAGTAATATCACTTTACTGACGAATAAATTTTCACACACTTACACATATTCTCGAGCAAAAATAGCAGGACCAATATGAAAATTAATTAGCCAAACCATGCTGTCTACCTAGCAAAGCATATTTTCATTTTCGTTTCTTAATCATGAATATGTTTAAGAGGTGAGATAGAACTGGATAATCTTCTTGACCTGCTGTTTACTTGAAATTTTTACAAGAATGAGTTCCAGCTCTGACGATGTTCATCAATGAAGTGGGTTGACCTCGTTGTCACAACTTGGTCTTGTTGTCAGGGCGAAGTCCTCTGCCATAGCAGCAGACCATGGACTGCCAGCCGACGATAAGACCAAGTTGCGACGAGGTCAACCCACTTCTATAAATCGAAAGGAGACTGCCATCATACCGGGGGCCACAGCATCTTGGTCTTCATCTCTTCCAGTAAGCTCGTGTCGTTCATCCTCGAAGCTGGGGAGCATGTCTCGAGAATCGCGTCAACTTCAAAGTCGTATTGAAGCCAAATGACTGCAGTACAATGGGAACCCGTCGTCGTCTGTTGGTTGGATCAACTCACAAATTCCTACTTTATTCACTTTCATGTGAAATGAAAATCTTTCCAACAATGTTATGTCAGAAGATTAATCGAAACCCAGTTACTCTTCGCATCAACATCCGAAACCAGTAACTGAATAAATATATATCAATTCATCTATCTATCTGTGTATAATATCGTGAATGTTTGTAGCACATAATGCAGAGTCAGCTATCCTTCATGGATTAGTGCAGTCTTGAAGCTTTTGCAAAGTTTAGCTCCAGTTCTGATGAGGTATTTTAAAGAAGCTCAGCCTATTTTCATTCACTTGAAAGAGAATGTCTCGGGGAACGTGGCGACCTGAAGGTCAGACAAATGCAGAAGTGTGATCCTCTTTCGTCGTGTGGGTCGACCGATCTACACATCTCCACATTAGCACACGCTATTTGTAGCACAGTCGCCTGTTCAGTTCGAGCCGGTCACCACAACAAAATATTTCCATTTCGGAAATGTGTGTATGATGAATAGCTTCGTGGGTTGCTGCTCGTTGTATCGCAGCCGGTTGATTCAAGTACAACCTTCGGGTTGGCGCAGTCCACGAGACATGTTCTCTCATTTCTGGCGGAAACGAGTGACCTTCCGTCCTTCACCAGAAAAGATTCGTCTTCTTAACTTAGCGTTAATGAGACCTTTGCAAAAATGAGTCCCAACTTTGATGATGCTCTTCAAACGGCAGGACGAACGAAAGCTCAGCTGGTTTTCGTCAAAAACAAGCGAGGATGCTTCATGGACTGGGTCAACCGGATGGTTGCATGCAAGCCGAACAGGTACAGCATAACGAGAATCGGCCGCCGTCTTCTGGTGAGCTCGACTTACGAATCTGTTCACACCGAATGGAAGTCTCCACAACAATGTTATCTGAGGAGATTAATCGAAACCCACTTTTTCTTTGTATACATTCTTTGGCTCTATTAATTCCCGTTTTCCCATTAGTTTGGGAATCAAATGTGTGAGATGACATTAGGTCTCAACACGGGCCGATCAAAAATCTACATTGAAAGCATTTCCCAACTTTCCAAGTGAGTACAAAATTTTAAAAAACGCATAAAAATGGCAATGTTATGGCGCATTACGGAGAGAATATAGTCGAAAACCCATTAGAAAGAGGCGCGGTGACATTGGGCTGGGAAGTCTGAGCAAGGTCACTGGGTAAAATATGCCAGAGGCACCAGATGAAAGCTATACCTTGAGGGCGAAGAGTTTCATTCAAAGAGGCCGGGAGGGTTGTGAAGAATGATACCAAAAGAACGGACACAGAATGAGAGAAAAAGACAACAGGACTAAGCCGATTGTGGGGCCAAGAGAAGCAGTCAACCACTGACGCTGCCGCTGCCGCCGACACAAACCATTGGGTTTTGGTCTCGAGCAAATTCCAGGTCAGGAATACCATCGGGAATTGTGGCGAGGGTCGTTGGTTGTCAGGGGCATAGCCGAACACTGACAGTGTTTGTCCGCCAAGAACCGAGAAATGCTGACAGTTCAAGTGAATCTTCTGCGACAACACGATCCCCGTGTTTCTGCAAAAGTTTGTGTGTGTGTGTGTGTGTATGGGTTTATGAGCGTATGTGTGTGTGTGTGTGCAGGTAGAAGGAGGAACAGGAGGAACAGGCGTCT